CTTGCTGACTTTTGCTGGCTTCCACTTTCAATAGAATGGATTTTTAAAATAGAGAGGACTAAGGAAATTGTCCCAATGAATTTTGGGGATATTTCTGGATGACTTACCCAAGACCTGAGTCAAATGGGACCACATCTGCTCAACAAAGCACTAGAACTCAGATCCTGGGTCCCATATTAACTTGAACTTGGATCCTCCAGCCCTATAGAGTTCTGGCATTGTGAATGCAAGAGGGGAGGGAGGACCTAGGTTTGAACCCAGGTCCAAACATATTCTTACATTACAGTCTAGGCATACCCTTACATGTTCTTAAACACTTCATATAGCAACGCATTTTCATGCACATGCTTGCAGAAGATATGTTGTTTTGCCTCTGTGGAAGGCTGTCTGCTGTATACACTAGAGAAGCTATGCAAACAGCATAATTTCCTTCAAGCTAGTATTGGCGGCTATGCAGTGCTTAAAAACGAGACAAGAAATCTTTCTATGATTGCAGCATATATAGTTCATACTTTCTAAGCTGTCATTTTGCCTCTTTTAGCAATTGTCAAAATTTTGCCATGTCATATTAAAGCCTGGAAAAATTGGGAGAACTTATGCCTTTATTCCACTAATTTGGGTGTTTTTGAGGACAGCAAGAAGTCTTTTTTTTTTCTATAGCCAAAAGCAATCCAGACATCATCAACATCTAGGATTTTCACAATAACCACTGACAGAGCCAGAGTGTTTCTTTTTTGTGGTCTGGATGATTATTTTTTGTGTTCTTAAACATGGCTCATGGTGGAGATATATGATCTTCTTGTGAATGAATGTACTACCATGACTGGCATCTCTTGATGAACTGTGGTCATCTTATCACCAGTGGTTACATAATTCCTTGTTCTCACTGAAACAACACTGTTCACTATGCAGTTTACAGGCAGATCATTTGTAGGAAGTACATTCTCATCAAAATAGCTGGATTTTTTTTAATTGGCAAAATTTTGAAATTCAACTGAAAATCCTTCATTTTTATATATAATTTGTTGGATTTTTTAATGTTTTAAATTTCAAATTTTTCAAATGTGAAAAATATTTTGTAACATTTCATGGCTTTCTGTAATTTTATTCTACTAGCTGTAATGTTTACAGACACCAGAACCACATCTTTCTCTAATTGCTTGTTTCTGATTTTCTGAAAGGCAAGTGTCTTGAGCCATATTTTACATTTTCTAGCAGAAACTCTTCTTCATCCAAAAGTAAGATTAGCTGAGGTAGTTAACAAACATGCCATTGAGAGAGAAGCTGGAGGGAAAGAATCACATTTTAGAAA